CTCAGGCCAGGCAAGGAGTGACTGAGAAGGGAGGGCGAGAGGCGGGGCCAGCCAGTGGTGAGATTACCCAACAGGGAGCCACAGCAGAGGGCCACATGTGGCTCCAGAGCCACAGGTGGTTGACACCTGGTCTAGTCTGATGAAAAGAAGGACCAGGGGAGACAGGATAGCGGCCTTCCAATATCTCAGGGGCTGCCCCAAAGAAGAGGGAGTCAAGCTATCCTCCAAAGCACCCAAAGGCAGGACAAGAAGCAATAAGGATGGAAACTCATCCAGTAGACAAGCAACCTGGAATTAAGGAGGAATTTCTTGACTGTGAGGACAAACAACCAGCGGAACTCCCTGCCTCGAGAACTTGTAAATGCTCCATCAATGGAGGTTGTCTGAAATGGTATAAGCAGGGTTTGCTGCCTCAACAGGGGGTTGGACTAGAAGACCTCCAAGGTCCCTTCCAAATGTTTGACCTGGCGTTTAAGGGGTTGGGATTTGGTTTGTGTGGTTGGCTATCTTCAGTTCTTTGAAACTGTAGAATTGATTGATTAACCATCAAATCATTCAGTCACAAAAGGATTTGGTACATCGTTATAATGACAAGAAAACTACAGGGTGCATGTTTGACTCAAAGGATAAGCTTCCTTCCTTTCCTCCTTCCCTCCTCTTCTTTCCTCTTCTTCCTCCCTCTTCTCCCTTCTTCCTTTTTCTCTTTCTTTCCATTCTCATTCTTTCCCTTTCTTATTTCTTTCTTTCCTCTTGTTCTTTTCTCCTTCCTTCCCTCCCTCCATCCTCCTTTTCCCTCTTAACTTTCTCTTCTTCCTTCTCTTCTCTTCTTCCTTCCTTTTTTTTCTTTCCTTCAACCCTTTTCTTTCCCTTTCTTGCTTCTTTCCTTCCCCTTGTTCTCTTCCTTCCTTCCTTCCTTCCCTCCCTCCTTTCCTCATCCATCCTCCTCTTTCCTCTTCTCCTCCCTTCTTCCTTCCCTTGCTCCCTCCCTCCGCTTGTTATTTCTTTTCTTTCCTCTCGTTCTTTTCTTCTTCTTTTTTCTCTTTTTTTCCATCCTTTTCATTCTTTCCCTTTCTTGTTTCTTTCTTTCCTCTTATTCATTTTCTCTTTCCTTCCTTCCTTCTCTCCCTCCCTCCCTCCTTCTCTTCTCAAATATATAGCCTCCCAATTGCAACGATTCCCAGCCGCTCATGAGCACACAAAAACAATCCATCAAAATTATAAATACAATTAGAAACCCAAACTCATCAGGCCTCCAAAGTCTTCCTCAAAAGTTCCATCTTCGGCGCCTTTCTAAGACCTTTACGGCTTTTTTAAAAATAACCACCTGGGCACGTAGGTATCCTCCGACACCTTTGCTGCTTTACCTGTAGCTGGCAAAGAAAGAGGTAGGCAGGAGGGTGTCCGTTTCCAAAGTCCAGGAGCAATTGACCACTGGGTAGCTGATGGACCTGCAGTGGATCGATGGTTTCTCAGGAGGATCTGCAGAGCAAAAGCCGAAAAGGTGAGACACGCACCTGGCGTGGCTTGGTGGGCGTGGCTTGGTGGGTGTGGCAGGGGAAGGATATACTGCGAAATCTCCATTCCCTTCCCACCCCACTATAACCTGCTTTCCTGTGGTAATATATCCATCATATTCTGCAAGTTCTTGTACAGCTTTGTAAGATCTGGGGGTATCACAAACGCTCCTCATGAGGGCAGTAGTGTCTTTATGATGAGAGTTTGATCCTGTTATGATCTGCTAAAGCTCAGAGACCAGGAATCTGTGTGGGAGTTCACAGTACCTATCCGAGCCATTCCCATGAGACCTTTGGTGCCCTGCTTTCTCACGGGAACTTTATCACCTTCGCTGAGGCCTAGCTAGATAATGTTGCTGAGCTAATGTTGAAGTCATTGTTTTGATTTTGTATTTGCATTTTCTTAATAAATACTGCTACCCGGGGGCACTCGGGGCTGGCAGTTGCTCAGACGTCTTCCCTGCGTCTCCCATCATTTTTCAATTGCCAGTCCATCACA